GTCGTCCACAATGCCTCGTCAGAAATCGCCTTTTAAACCATCTGCGGTCCTTTGGGTTCCTGAAAAGTAATTTAAAATGTTTGTATCTCATTTAACAATAACATGTTGCAGGATGATTTGAGCGATTTTAGAGGGGGTGGGCGGGGTCAATGCCAACTGGGCTGAAACCGATAGAAGGACATTTCATTAGAAAGATGGGCATCTAAGGTGAACTCGACTGCCTCGGGCGTTAATCGCACTCATGTCTTTTGTGGACACCGGTGATTAGTTTAAGCGTTACACCACGACGCTAGAGAGAAAGGCAAAAGATTCTATTATACTGAATAATAAGACTATGTTTACATTATAAGAAAACATTATAGACTAATTACGTAAAATATGCTTCTGTATTACCCCCCCCCCCCCCATACACACACACAACACACTAAATAGGGAAGCTAGTCTGAAGGTACGGAGAAACAGAGTCATACAAATTATTTATCCAGCCAAACCTTTATACAAAGATTCATAGCTTTATAATCTCAAGCTGGAGAAAACAGACAGGAAATAAATGCTGTTAAATGATGGCGTTGGAAAGGCGGTCTAGTTTTATGAGACTCATTTATAAAAAAAGGAAAATGTTTGTTGGGTTGGGTTTCCTTTTCATTTCAGTTGTTTAAGGGCTAGCTGGATTAGGAGCAGTGTGCACAATATTACACTTATAGTGACTAAAGACGCCATCATAGAGAAAAAGTCTGGAATGTGCCGCACGCATTCGACTGAAGCAAGACTGGTGTTTTTAAAGTGCAGAATAACAGCAGTTGTGGTAAAAGATAGATTGATTTCCTAGAAAAGAAGTACTTTTCTCTTCATTTGGGCGTACTAGCGTCGCCCATGGTGCACCCTCTTAGCAGCAAGTTTTTTTTAGAGAGACCGAAGCGTGGCGGCCATGCCAGTGCAGCATCTAGGAGTAGGCTACGAGTCTAAGTCTTGCAGGTACAACGTTTTTGGGGATATATCTAAGAAGGTTTTAATTTATCCACTTTCTGCGGACTCTGTTCTTGAAGGGAATCTGCTGATCGATTAATGGAAGCTGAAGAAATCTGACCCCAGCCTCATTGGGAATTATGTTTTTACTTTTACGGTTGCCTTTTGTTTTGTTGTTGTTGTTGTTGTTTTTTGTTGTTTGTTTTTCAAACGAATCATAAATAGTAGATGTTTGAAAGATGTGTTTTTGACATTAGATAGTCAATAATTGTCTTTAAATTTTCAGTCCTGTCAGGAATTATGATAAGAATTGCCAATTTATGTTCTGAACCATTTTTCTTTACTAAAACCCTTATTGTTTGCATGAATTTTCAGGTCAATTAAATTTTAAGATAAAGGGTCCTTACAAGTCCGCTGGTGATCCGTCTTAGAGGCCGGTCAGTGAACACGATGATGATGACGACAGCATTGCCCGCGACGGTGATGATCATGATGATGATGAAGAAGACTGCGATGAGGTGTCTGACGGGTGCCGAGTAGATGGTCGGCGTGTAGATAAAGTCACTCCCCTGAAGGTCATCACACCAGGTGGCGCGGGTACTCGTGGAGTTTAAAAGGGCGTCGCTTTCCCAAGGGGAAGTGACGAAGATCCTGGAGTGGATAGAGGACTGAGTAACGAACACTTCCTCCCCAGGGTGAAAAGATGACGCAACGGAGCTGTTGAGTACTGAAGATAAGGTGGGAGCAGACGTGGTGTTGCTCTGAATGACGTTGGTGGCTATGACTTTGTTCCACGGAGACGAGTTGCCGGAGTGAAAGTTTTGACTTGGGTAGGGTCGCATTTTGCCAAACGTTCAAAAGGCTCAGTGTTCGGGGCACGGATACCCCAGCCATAAGGTTTAAAGTGCTCCGAGTAGACCCCTAGTTGGGCTGAAAAACATTGAAGACACTCACTTCCCTTTGAAGTCAAGAGTTGTGGTGTTTTTTTATTGTGAATTCGAACTTGAGCCACTGGACACTAAGGAGCCACTCTCTCTTTTGATCAATAAGTGATGAATTCGAAATTAGGCAGGTTATCCTTTACAACCAACCACTACCTTTTCACCAAGGCCATGTATGAATAAACAGTCAGGCAAGCAGTCACCTGGGGGAAAGCTCTGTCGCTCTTGATCTCTCAAAACTGAGTTTCTACTCGCAGTCTAAAGGATTTGCTGGAGAGAATCTGAAGGTCTGAAACAATACAAAACAGAACCTTTAATACCTTTCTTCAGAAACAAAATACATAAAGTATTCGAACTCATAAACATCAGAAAACTTTCAGAAGGTCAGTCCCGAGTTCACCATTGGCGGTATTCGCATTTAATTATTTTTACTGCACATTTCCTGTAAATATGATGGCAGTTAATGCCCAGCATAACTTTTAGGAGGCAGAAAACTGTTATGTGCCACTGGGTGGCTTCAGATGTACAAATTGAGTATGGGTTCTTTAAAAGAGGGAATCAACCCACAAAGAGTGCTTAGCAATTTGTTATTGAAAAAGTCGTGGGAAAAGAAAGAAAGGGAGGGGGGGGGTACCTATAAAGACGTGGATAGGGGTGGAGGTAAATCATATCTAAATACCAATAGAGCATATAAGCATGCAATACACCAGACAAAGTAAGAAAGGTGGAAATCTTTCTCATGAGTAATTTGCTTATGCGCAGACACAAAAATGTACCTGTACCTCCTGTAACTGCAGAAAGATTTCCAGCAATTAAAATCGTTGCATCTTTGCCCTATGACTTAATTTCGGTTCATTTTAATTGTTTATTTCTTCATTATTTCTGTGTTTCCTACATGCATGCTTGCAGTAGGAGATTATAATAAGCAGAAAAAGTCAAAGATTTTTATTCGGATGAGCTTCTTACTCAACTGGTTCCTCTGATCACTAGAGCTTTATAACACTGAACATTTGTAAAACAATTAGCACAAAAGGCCAGTGGCACTGCAAAGACGAAAAAGACAGACACTTTGGCCGCTGAAGCCTGTGTGATTCCACAGAACCCCTTCTCCCCTTACGTGTGCGCCCATTGGTGAAGTCTTTATCAGGCGTCTGGGAAGAGTGACATGTGATTAATAGGGTGCAGAAAACACACAGGTGGCCATCTCTAGCAGGCTGGACGGGTGTAAGTTAGTGCATGTGCACGAGGGGCATGTAGGTGCGTTGCTCGTGAGTTAATTGCATGCTGCGAGAAAATCGCTGGTTATTTATGCTGTTATTCAGTCCCCCTTTTTCACAAGTATCAATATTTCGTTCTTATGAAGGATACCGTACTCATCAATTCTTCTTCTTCTCCTTCTCCTTCTCCTTCTCCTTCTCCTTCTCCTTCTCCTTCTCCTTCTCCTTCT